GCAAGCGTCACAAGCAGGAACCGCTTAGGGTTTAGGGTTTGGTGTTGAGGGTTTAGGGGTAAACTCTACAGCAAACTCAGTAAATTCAGTAAACTCCGAACCCTAAACCGCACAGGCGTGCAGCAGTCTTCGGCATCCCCCTAAACCCTAAACCCTAAAGCCTAAACCCTAAACCCTAAACCCTAAACCCTAAACCCTATGTCAGGGTGCCCTGGGATTTCGCAAGACCGCACCACGGACCCGTCGCCGAGAATGGCTGCAAAGGCAGAGTAGGTAGCTTTGAGCTCCACGGCGGCCTTGAGTTTCTCCTGTTGGGGTTTAGGGTTTAGGATTTAGGGTTTAGGGTTTAGGGTTTAGGGTTTAGGGTTTAGAGTTTAGGGTTTAGGCCCCTGGAAGATCGAGAAAGGAGATCCCGTTGATTTTGGGCTTCTTGCAAATTACCCAATAGCAATACAAGTTACACATTGAAATCCCCTCAAGGGTCGGTTCCTCCCCACGTGATGGCTCCCATCGTTTGGGTACGTTTTGTTTGGGGAGTGCGATTTCTTTCTGTTGGTTAGTAGGGAATGGGGGAATGAGGTACTGTACCCTATATAATCCTTTAAAGGAGATATATAGGGGGATATAGGGTACCTCATTCCCTCATTCCCTGCGAACCAACAGTAAGATCCTCGTTCGCATGCTTCAGGTGTCTTTGATCGCTCCTGCACGCTGCTGATGTCCGCGCCACAGTGGAGTCGGCCCCAAGCCACCACGAATCCTGCATCGAGGGTGGCGGCAAATGCTCCTTAGCCGTCGTTGTTGATGTCCCGAAACCGTAAACCCTAGACCCTAGACCCTAAACCCTAAACCCTAAACCCTAAACCCCTAACCCTAAACCCTAACCCCAAATCCTAGACCATAGACCCTAAACCCTAAACCCTAAACCCTAAACCCTAAACCCACGACACAAAAGTCCTAAACGACTCGCTGCCGTGCGAGGCTCCTCCAGACGCCTGGAGCTGTCGGACATTCTCCAGCTCTCCACCGTCGCGAGAACCATCCCACGTCACAACACGCCTGCTTAGGGTTTAGGGTTTAGGGTTTAGGGCTTAGGGTTGAGGGTTTAGGGTTTAGGGTTGGGTTGAGGGTTTAGGGTTTAGGGTTTAGGGTTTGGGGTTTAGGGTTTAGGGATTAGGGCGTAGGGGCTGAGTACCCTAGCCCAAAAAAACGGTTCGCCTTTTACACATAGTAGGATTCTATATAGCCAAAAGGTTCAAGGTTACCTACCCTAAACCCTTTTACATAATGTTCGAATTCGATGTAGCCAAGAAGGTTCAAGGGTACCTCCCTAAACCCTAAGCCCTAAGCCCTAAACCCTAAACGCAAAACCCTAAACCCTAAACGCTAAACCCTAAACCTAACCCCTCCCTCCCTAGTTCTCCCAAACCCAAGGTTCCTTCGAATCCGAAATTCTGAGCACACCTTAGACCTTAAACCTCTGGCTTCCTCATCTGGCAGCACTCCCGCAGACCAAAGCCCTAAACCCTAAACCCAAAACCCAAAACTCTAAACCCTAAACCCTAGACCCTAGACAAGCCTGTCAGCCAGCTCCGCGGCAAAGGCAAACTCCGAGGCATGCAGCTGGCGAACATGCCTTTCTTGGTGGACGGTTTCCTGGTTTAGGGTTTAGGGTTATACGGTTAATTACGTGTGCTTACGGGATTTCCGATAAATCCTTGCCATAAGATATGGCGGACTGTGTCCTAGTTGTAAGGCTACGTGTGTGCTTGCGGGTTTTCCTGTACATCCTTCCGCATAAGATGTGGTCAAGTAGCTTTCCGGGTTGAACTTGAAACCAAAAAGATGCACCTACCATCTCTGCCTTCACGCGTAGGCTGCGGTCTGGGCGGCTAGGCCATGAAATTCTCATGAAGCAACATGGGAGTTTACGCAAATATATAACCCCTACAATAGTTCCCCAGATAGTAGGATTCCCTTATAATAAGGAGCCCAGTAAGGTACCCTGAATTTCGGAAACCCCCAATATGCCAAAGCGCTTTAGCAGATGCTGCACGGCGCTGCTGTCACCACCTGTGTCAAGGCCAACTACACCCTGCAAGCCCCAGACCTTATAAATACAAATGAAAACTAAAAATAAATATAAATATAAAACATATACATGTTTATTTATATTTATACTTATATCTATATTTATCTATTTTCATATTTATATTACTATTTATATGTATATGTATATTTATATTTGTCTATTTATCTGTTTATAGTTATGTGTATATATATATATATCTCTACATTTATATTTGTTATCACGTATCTGTGTGTGTCTCTGTGTGTGTGTGTGTGCGTGATGCGTTGTTTGTTGGCTTTATATGCTTGAGAAAACACTTTTTAACAAGCTTTTCAAAAGTACACACTTTTATCATTTCTTATCAGTACATTTCTTGAAACAAAGTGTGGGTTTCTTGTACTTTTGACAAAGCATATTGTGTTGAAAAGCCTTGTGTTATTGAAAGAGTACATTCTTTCATTTATGAAAACTAGAACTTTCTTCTTGATAACGTATGAAAAAGATCTCTCTTTGTAAAGATTGTACTTTTTGATGAAGAATGTCTCTCTATTTTTACAAGTCTGCTCAAAACTATTTCGCCATGTGAGTTTTGTATGTTTTGTTTGTTTAAAGCATACAAAGTGCATAAACAACTGCGTTAAACACATCTGTGTAAAGAAGTGGTTTTTTACACAAAAGCATGCTTTCTTGCTTCACATTTTGAAAAAACATTCAGACACTTCATAAACATGTTAATGTTACTTTGTACTTTTAGAAATACTTTGTGCCAGAATTAACCTGTTGGGTGAATCTTATGTCAAAAGTTTACAATGAAAAAACGAGAATTTATGATTTGACACATTAGCTCCATTTTCAAACATGAATTGGAATGCTGTTTACTGTCTCTTTGGAAGAAAGACGTCCTTTGCTCCTGCACTATGGACTAAGTGTTTCCGATCCAAAAGCGGGAAACAAACACTTTTCACCTGCAAAGAAGTATATATTTTCCTATATTTTTCCTATCGTTGATTTTAGCATCATATTTGGACATAATATACGAATACTTTCATTCATATATACATGTATATATATATATATATATACTGTCGAATAATTGTGCTGGATAAGATAAAACCCGAAAAACCCTGAACTCGTGAATCCGTTCAGAGCAAGCGGACCCTATAGCCGCACACGCTACACCTTTGAACCTACAACCCCGCGCGCGAAACTCCGAACGCTCCCGAACCCGAACCCTCGGCTCAAACTTCACCTCCCTATTTCCGCCTAAACCTCATAAACCAATAAACCCTAAAACCCATAAACGCTTCTGGATTGGTCCGCAATGACAGCTCGCCTCAACCTTACAAACCCTCAACTTCACCTGAACCCTAAAACCGAAACCCTACACCCTAAACCCTAAACCCAAAACCCTAAACCCTAACCCCTAAACCCTAAACCCCATAACCCTAAACGCAGGGAGCCTGTGTCCGGGTTGCCCCAAGTCACCACAGAGCCATCTTCCAGAACTGCAGCGAAGGACTCACCGGTGGCATGTAGCTGCTGCACATTCTGCAGCTGGTCCTACAGTTTAGGGTTTAGGGTTTAGGGTTTAGGGCTAGGGTTTAGGGCTTAGGGAGTTAGGGAGATAGGGAGTTACATTGGGGGCTAAACCCTACAGCTTAAACCCTAAACCCTAAACCCTAAACCCTAAACCCTAAACCCTAAACCCTAAACCCTAAACCCAGGGGTTTAGAGAGCGTTTGTTTTAGAGGCCAGTGGCTTGCAATCCGCAGCTGATTTCTTTTGGAGGAGAAGGTGCCCCTTGGTTTTGGGTTGAAAGGGTTTACACCCTAAACCCTAAACCCTAAACCCTAAACCCTAAACCCTAAACCCTAAACCCTCAAGTTTTAGGGTTAGGGTTTGAGGGGAGCCGAAGCCCCCAGAGCCTAAGCCCTAACCCTTACAAACCCCGAACTCTAAAACCCTTGGCCTTAAACCCTAAATCCTAAACCCTAAACCCTAAACCCTAAACCCTAAACCCAGGGGTTTAGAGAGTATTTGTTTTAGAGGCCAGTGGCTTGCAATCCGCAGCTGATTTCTTGTGGAGGAGAAGGTGCCCCTTGGTTTTGGGTTGAAAGGGTTTAAACCCTAAACCCTAAACCCTAAACCCTAAACCCTAAACCCTAAACCCTAAACCCTAAACCCTAAAGTTTTAGGGTTAGGGTTTGAGGGGGAGCCTAGGCCCCCAGAGCCTAAGCCCTAAACCTTATAAACCCTGAACTCTAAAACCCTTGGCCTTAAACCCTAAACCCTAAACCCTAAACCCTAAACCCTAAACCCTAAACCCTCAACCCTTAGGGCAATATACATAGAGAGGGATTGTGGGATGGCAGGGTTGTGCGGCCTGGTCGGGACATTCGGTTTTCAGATGTTTTCAGGCTCCAGCCACACCTTGAATTAAACGCCAAGCTACTCTAGGTCCAAGAGGAAGCTAGGAATAACAAGGGCACCCTTTTTTGCATTCAAGGGGCCGATAAGGGAGCAGGAGCCCGAAAGAAACGGAATAAGGGCCTATTTAAGGGAGCAGGAGCCCGAAAGAAACGGAATAAGGGCCTATTCCGGGTCCTAGTACTCCAAATGCGGAGCTATTGTGAATGAGGGCTTATTCTGGGTCCTAGTACTCCAAATGAGGAGCTATTATCATACGCTCTCCACGCAAGCACAGAGTACTGTAGCCCACGGCCTTTTAGGGTAGGCCACTTCCAAACTCAAACTAAGGAAGCACACCCTAAACTGCAGCTACTAGCGATCCTACCATGAAAATAGGGGCCGCCTTACTTTGTATGGGGTTTCCGAAAAGAAAGGGACCCCTAATATAGACCCCCGACATTGCAAGATTCCTTTATCATAAGGCCCGTACCCCGCATTTCTGAAACACCCATCTGATTTTCTAGGGGATAGGATTAGGGGGACCCTTGGGGACACAGACCCTCTGAATAAGGTCCCTGTTTAAGAGAGCAAGAAGAGGGTTAAGAAGGGTTTCCTTTTGAAGGGTCCCCCTTATCCTACCTAGGGGTTTAGGGTTTAGTTTCCCAGAATTAATAAAACTAGCTTTGGAAGTACCGGGAAGGTCCTGGACTTCGCTGCTGTCTCCTCCCAGCGCCGGATGTCCCCAAGTGACGACGCCTTCTTATAGGGTTTAGGGTTTAGGGTTTAGGGTTTAGGGTTTAGGGTTTAGGGTTTAGGGTTTAGGGTTTAGGGTTTAGGGTTTAGGGTGACGACGCCTCCGCTTCGGAGCAAGGCCGCGAAGGCGCCCGCAGTGGCCCGGACCTGCTGCACGTCCTGTTCTGCTGCATTGAAGGAGCCCAAACCCTAAACCCTAAACCCTAAACCCTAAACCCTAAACCCTAAACCCTAAACCCTAAACCCTAAGCCCTAAGCCCCAAACCCTAACCCTAAACCCTAAACCCGACACTCTAAGCCCTAAACCTTGTGTATTCTGGCTTTCAAAAAGGGGTCCTTCAGCTTCTCCGCCACCGGGCTGCTGTCGCCACCCCAGCGCGGGCGACCCCAGGTAACGACCGAGCCATCGCCCCGAACAGCAGCAAACGCTGACTGTGTGGCTTCGAGCTGCTGCACGTTGTCCAACTGCACTGAGCTGCTGTCGCCGCCCATATCTCCCTCACCCCAGGACACAACGGAGCCGTCGCTGAGAACAGCAGCTACTGCTGCTGAGGTGGCGGAAAGGAGCAGCGGTCTCGTGTGCAAGGTGACCCAATCGCCGCTCCGCAACCCAGCCTGCTGAACAGTCAGGTCGCCCTGCAGCAAGATGCCCGATGCGCTGAGCAACCTCCCGCGGACTCCCAGAAGCTGCTGCGCGCGCACTCGGAGGTCTTCCACCGACGCGCCCGGCACGACGTCGACATCCGCCCGTCGGCCACTCATAAGCACGACGGCAATGCGCACCGTCATGGAAGCGGGCCTTCCTCCGGCGCCCGGCCGGCCACTACCACTCGACAGAAGGGTTTAGGCTTTAGGGTTTATAGGGTTTAGGGTTTACGGTTTAGGGTTCTATTTAGTTTAGGGCTTAGGTTCTATAGTTTAGGGTTTAGGGTTCTCTTGTCGGACTGCTATTGGATGCACCTATAATCCCGGCTCTGTCTCTGTCTTGTTGTCTTTGGCATTGACATTAGGGGGAGGGGGGCGGGGCTTCCGATGCCTTGCTTCCCGTACGTTTTGTAGGGTTGGGGCGCGTCGTTGGTGCGAGCTGTATCGGATGGAGAATAACTAGTCGAAGCATTTGAGCCTCGTGATCCTACACCCAAGACCCTAATCCCTACCCTTGCAATCCCTCTCCCCGCCGGGTCGCAAGCTAGATGCGACGGGGTTGAGCCAGAATGGCACCGGTAGGAAACGGAAGTTAACTTGGCTGCACTCAGGAGGGTAGCTATAAATTAAACTTTTAGCTACGTTAATAAGAAGCCCAATAAACCCCAAAAATGTAAGGATCTAAAGTTACAGTAAAGTACCACAGAGTTAAGCTGCCTTCGCAAGAAAAACATACTACACGAAGTCACTACGAACCGTGAGCCCTAAAACGACCCTAAACCCGGCTCCCTTTGGCTAGTCTGGTGGTCGCTCGTGTGTCCCAAAGGGTTTGAGGTTTAGGGTTTAGAGGATCCTCTGAGAGACACCCTGAAATCCCGAACCTACACAGGCTCCTAAATCCACGAGAAGTGGTGGACAGGGCGATAGGAGGTAGCAACCCCAAAAACGGCATCCAACCCCGGGCGTTTTCCAAGCAGTTGTGCATTTAGGGGCTTGAGGGGGCGACTGGAAATCTAATTCCCTAAGCTGCGGAACTGTAACCCCCCCCCCCCCCCCCTCAGAAAAAAAAACTCAGAGCCAGGATCATACCCGAAGACCTGGAATCTAATGAAGGATGTTCTGAAAAAAAACTATATGGCATTTAGACTACAACCGCCCGGGCGAACGTATACAGAAGTGAGACATCCCAGAGGCATGTTGTTGCAGGATTTCAGCTCAAAAACCCTAAATCTCAACCCCGAAGCCCTTAACTCCTTGCTAGCGCAGCAACCATAGTCTATTATCGTGGTTAACCTTTTGCATGTTGCTTCCTTTACAAGGGAACCTTGAACAACAAAAGGCGAAAAGGGTACCATTGGGCTACTAAGACTCCTGAACCCTAACGCCTAAAATAGCATTATACCCTTTATGAGGAAGCCGCGGGCCCAAATGCCCCAAACCCCAAACCCTAAACCAAAAACCCGGAACCCTAAACCCAAAACCCTAAACCCCTGAACCCCAAAACCCCGAACCCTAAGCCCTAAACTCAAGCCACGGGGCGAGACGATGTAGTGCTTCTTGCACCCGAGCCAAGCCTGCAACGCGCTTTCGGGCGGTTGGGGGCCGACTCTGCAATGTGGGATTTGGGGTTTAGGGTTTAGGGTTTAGGGTATAGGGTTTAGGGTTTAGGGTTTAGGGTTTAAGGTTTAGGGTTTAGGGTAAGTTTAGGGTTTAGGGAGGGTTTGGGGTTGGGGGTTTCAGGGTGCTACTGGGGTTTGGAATTTCGGGTTTGGGGCTAGGGGTTGTATGTGGGATTTGGGTCTACTAGCAGCTATAGGGTTTGGTCGTTAGGGTTTGGGGTTAGAGGTTAACGTGGGATTTGGGGTCTACTAGCCAGCTAGGGTTTGGTCGTTAGGGTTTGGGGTTTGAGGCCCAAACCCTAAACCCTAAACCCTAAACCCTAAACCCTAAACCCTAAACCCTAGACCCTAAACCCTAAGCCCTAAACCCGAGCTTAGAATTTGGTGTGTAGCGCTCATGGGCGTTCAAGGCATTGGGGCCCTAACGTCTTAGATTCTCAAGCGCTTTCGGGGGGCTCTCTTGGTTCATGGCTTCAGGTAGGGTTTAGGGTTTAGGGTTTAGGGTTTAGAGTGTAGGGTTGAGGGTTCAGGGTTCAGAGTGCAGGGTTTAGGGTTTAGGGTTTTGGGTTTAGGGCTGAGGAACTGGGAATGCCCCTCAAAGCAGCCTCTGAACAAGAATCCTAAACATGATCCGCTTAAGCCCAAATTTTGCGGCAAAGATACATGGTCCATGGGCAAGGCTAAAACGATCCAAGGGCTTGCCTAGAGAAAAACCGGTATGTCCTGCCTAGCCCCAAACCCAAAAACAAACCCGGAAAACCCTAAAACCCCAAAACACTAAGGCCCTCAACCCTTAAACCCATAAAACCCTAAAACCGTGAAACCTTAGAACCCTCATCCCTTCAACCCTAGAACCCTAAAGAACCCCAAAAAACCCTAAAGAACCCTAAAGAACCCCTAAAGAACCCTAAAGAACCCTAAAGAACCCTGAAGCCCTAAGCCCTTCTCCAGCTTCGTAGCCCCAGTACCTGGTGCAGCAGCTTCTTCGCAAACACCCACCCCGCGGAGGTCTTCGTGGTGTGCAGCGTCTGCTTGTAAACTCTGCCCCTAAACCCTAAACCCTAAACCCTAAACCCCAAACCCTAAACCCTAAACCCTAAACCCTAAACTCCGTCCGAGAGGGCCAAGTATGGAGCCTTGCCCTAGCAAGCCCTTCCTGATCCAACATTTCATGGGGCGTTCTTCTTGCACGCCGATCTCACTGTACCATTTCTCCTGAGTGACAGCTATCGCGGACAAGATCTTGTCCTGGTCATGAGACCATGGAGCACGGTTTAGGGTTTATGGTTTAGGGTTTAGGGTTTAATCACGATATATTGCAATGGTCAAATACAGATCTGAGCCAGCCTGGGCAGCAAGGCTCAAAGCCGACACCGTGACATTGTAACCATATTACAACAAATTAGGGATGATATTTTGGGGGTAGAGGGTTTAATTCGGGTTTAGGGGTTTGGGGTTTAGGGCACCTTTTTGGGGGGTCGGTGACTGCATAAGGGATCCTTGAGCCAAAAAAGGAGGGATAAAAGGGTACCGCTGGGCTACCATGACTCCTAAACCCTAAACCCTAAAGCCCAAACCCTAAACCCCAAACCACAAACCCTAAACCCCAAAGCCTAAACTACAAAGCCTAAACTCTAGACCCTAGACACTGGAATCCAAAACAAAATGGCAAGGGAAAAAGGCTTAAACCCTAAACCCCTAAAACCCATAAACCCTAGACCCTAGACCCTAAACCCTAAACCCTAGACCCCAAACCCGAAACCCTAAACCCTAAACCCTAGACCCTAACACACAAACATAAACGGAAAAGGGTACCGCTGGGCTGCCAAGCAAGGCGCCTGCTGCGTTTTCATGTCCATGTCCCTGGCCTGACCCGGCACAGGTGTAGGGTTTAGGGTTTAGGGTTTAGGGCTTAGGGCTTAGGGCTAAGGTTTAGCGTTTAGGGTTTAGGGTTTAGGGCTTAGGGCTAAGGTTTAGGGTTTAGGGTTTGGGGCTTGGGGGTTAGGGATTTAGGGTTTAGGGTTTGGGGTTTTGTGTTTTAGGGGCTAAGGGTTTTGGGTTTCGAGTTTTGTGGGAAGGGTAGTGCTTCGGGTTTAGGAATTTGGGCTATATAGGGGTTTGGGTTTTGGGATGAGGGGTTTCGGCTGCCCTGCATCAGGATCCCTGTTTCTCGAGGGGGGTGGGGGGGGGGGGGGGGGGGGGGGGGGGGGGGGGACGGCTACGAGGCAGCAAGGGTTTAGGGTTTAGGGTCTAGGGTTTGGGATTAGGGAGTCGAGCTGGGGCAGAGAAACAGATCAGAGGTACACGTGCGCATGCAAAAAGAGAGGCACCCAGCCCTAAACCCCACCGCCAAAGACCCGAACAACAACACCAAACCCCAAATCCTCTACGTAAATTCCAAGCTCTATAAAGCCCACACCCAGGTTCAACCCCAAGCCCTGTCGCTACGGGCCTAACCCCTAAGGGCCGTTTGTTGCTTGTATCCGAGGACACCCCCATGAATACAGTCACCAACATTGATAAGGAATCAGATGTACACACTGAGCCTGTTCGGCCGTCTCATGGCGCGCAGTCCCAGATCCATCCGTGCCTGAGGGCAGAAGCAGGGCTTAGGGTTTAGGGTTTAGGGTTTGGAGTTTAGGGTTTAGGGTGTGGTATGCAGCTCCTCCCCCCCAAACCCCAGACACAGCTTCAGTTGGCAGTCTAGCCACCACAGCCCTAAGGGGTCCATCTATCTCATGCTTCTACACGTGGGCCACAAAGTCCTGAATAGGAAGTACTTTGAGTCAAAGGGAAGTTACATGGTCCCTTAACATGGGCCCTTCAAAAAAGGAGGCCCCGTATATACGCTGTACAACCCAAGGGCCCATGCTACAGATCGTTTAAAGAAGGTAAGGGACCAGATGAAGGTACCATGTAACTGCCCTTAGATTAAGGCACAGGTCTTCCCTATTTAGGCACAATGGCCCTTAGGGTGCAGCCTGAACCGAGAAGAGTTACAGGGCTTTGGGTTCTAAGGCTCTCGGGCGGTTCGCTCGCCACTTTTTGAAGCCGAAACCCGAAGATGCAAGGCAGCTGTGACAGCTCCCTCTGCAACCGGCTCGGTTCTTCGCAATTCGGGGTTAGGGTTAAGGGTTTAGGGTTCCCCAACCCTAAAACTCTAAACCCTAAGTCCTAAGCCCCAAGCCCTAAACCCTAAACCCTAAAACCCTGAAACTCTAAACCATC